AGTTCTTCGCTTTAAAAATGTGATAGAGTTTGCATATCTTTTTGTGTAAAACTTTTGGTACCGTTAAGGGTTTCCTTTGTATTGAGAAATGTTGAATTTAAACTTTTTTGCTTGTCCTTTGAATAAATTTTGCGTTATAATTTAAGGTTGTGGTGTCAGTTGTTAAAGGAGCTACTCTTAGATATTCTCTGTGTACGGATATACTTATAAATGCAGCACTTGAAATATCATTTACGATGTTAAAAAATAATACAGGGTCCTATACATAATCTGTATTGTCTGCTAATATTGTTTCATCAATTGTCTGCAAATTTTTTTTCATCAATTGTCTGCTAATATTGTTTCATTTTTAATATATATAAGTTTGCTAAGTTGAATTTATTTTGCTTTGATACAAATTATTGTAATTGTGTTAGTTATGGATCATGATTGGTTGTTTCTAAGTTTTTCACAGAGATAGTTTATCAAAAAAAAAGTTTAAAAAATACTTGTTTTGAACTGGTTCCACCCATCCGGTGTTTAGAAATTTTTTAAAGTTATTTTAAAGAATCGCTCACCCCAGAGCTACTCTTAGTAAAAATTGAGCGTTGAGGGTTGGGATTTTAGCACATGGTGGGCATATGTACCAGAAGCGACGTTGTTCTGGTGGGTGAAGCCAGAGGAGTGTTTTACCGTCTCTTTGTTCTGGGATTGTTTCATTTGTTGATTGTTAGATTTTACTTGATTTTTTTGTCGTTGGTGTTTTGGTGTACTACTTCTGTAGTTTTGATTTTGTCGACTTGAATATTATGAGTTGTTTCGATACGTAGACTGAGAAAATTTTCTTGATCTGCTTTGATCTGAGTTGCTGTTTGTATTTCTAGAATTATCACGGGATCTAGTTTTATAATTAATTATTGTACGGTCTATTGTCAGAATAGTTTTGTGAGTTATTGTAAGAGTAGTATCTATTTCGATTGCGGTCGTTTGTAGAAGTTCTTGAGCGGTCCTTGGGATAGTTTTTACTCCAACGGTTTGAATATGAGCAATTTTTATTATAAATTGAGTAATTACTTCTTTTAGAGTTCGATCTAGAGTAATTATTTCTGTACTGATCCTTTTGACTATTTGATCTACTATATCGATTTTGTGAACAGTTTTGTGAATATCGTCGATCTAGTGGTCTTCCGCGAAAATTTTTAAAGCAGGGGGATTTTGATCTTTTAATATTATAGCTATTTGGGAGTGGGTTTCCTGAGCTTTTATTACTATGCAGGCCTTTGTTCAGAAAACTCTGGTCTTTTATCATGTATTGGTAAAAAGGTATGTTTGGTTCTCTGTTTTTTGGTGGTCTATTTAAATTATCTTGTTGTTTGTGTCTACATTCAGCAATTCTATGTCCGAATCTGCGACAATAGTTACACCATTTTTGAATGGAGGCTTGCCCTCAAAATTTGGATTCTTTTCATAGACGTCAGGATTTCAGTAATTTTTTCTGCTAATTCGTTGTCGAAGTCATGAATTTTGTCTAAATGGGAAGTAGTTGTTTGAACATTTTCTATTTTTGTAGCTTTAAATTTTCTTTTTCTTGTAGTTTCCTGATGATTTGAACTTGTTCTAACTTGTCTACTAGTTTTTCGAAATCTATTTAGGATTCTCGGATTTATGATGCTTGTGATTCTTTTTATTAATTGTGGTGCTAAGGTCATCATTAGAATTTATCTCAGTTTCATATTTTTGTAATCATAAGGATTGAAAGAATAAGTTTTGCGTACTAGGGTTTTGTTTCTTACTGCGATTTGTTTTATGGTTTCAATCGGAAGTCTACAACTTTCGTTGCACAAAACTTTTTGATGTTGTTTATTTCGTTCAGAGTCAAATGTTTTTGAATAACGTTGAGTCAATAAATTTCAATCGGATTTAACTTCTAGTGGTGTTACTGAAAACCATTTTCGGGCTCCGCCATCGAGTGTGGTTTGCATCAGTGCTGTGCGATGTGAACCCATTTTTGATGAAGTGGTGTGTTTATAGGTTTCGGGCCTTTGTTTAGGATTAGGTTAGATTTAACAGCACTTCTAGTCGTCTTCTACTGAGTATCCAGAATCTGTTGTCGTTGAAAAGATTGTTGTTGTAATTGCCTTGGTTGTTGAGAGTTTATGTAAGGTTCGAAAATCTCTGGTTGAAAATTATCACCTGGTTGAACTATAGTATTCCAGTGATTTTTTGTTAATTGCTTTGTATTGTTGTTGGTTTTGATGAAAGTAATCTTCATCTTCAGAGGTGTCTGCTTGGTTTCTAATGAATTGCTTGTTTTTCGGGTTGAGTTTTTATTTTGTTGAAAAGATGGATAGTTTTCAGTTCAATCTGTCTGAAGTTTTTTTGTCACTAAAAGTTACACATTGGGTTATTGGTTTTGGTGCCTGTTGGATATAATTGTGTTTTTGAAATTGATTTTGTGTTGTATAGAGGGGTCGTGCTATTGGATAACTAATGTTATTATTTGCGAAAAAATCATAATTATGTCTTGCGAAGGTATTTCAAATTGAGTGTCCTTTTTGTCATTATCGCTTTTTAGTTATTGGTCTATTTGTTCGTTAATCCATATTTAAATATTTTGGGACGACTGATGAATTGACTGTTGATTGTAAGGTTACTGGTGGAAAAGGAGTTTTTTTTTTGTGTGGTGGTGTAAGTGTTGGATGAATAGGAGAGATAGTTTGTTGTGTTCTTATAGGTTGTGTTTCAACTAGTTCTTCGCTTTAAAAATGTGATGGAGTTTGCATATCTTTTTGTGTAAAATTTTTGGTACCGTTAAGGGTTTCCTGTGTATTGAGAAATGTTGAATTTAAACTTTTTTGCTTGTCCTTTGAATAAATTTTGCGTTATAATTTAAGGTTGTGGTGTCAGTTGTTAAAGGAGCTACTCTTAGATAATCTCTGTGTACGGATATACTTATAAATGCAGCACTTGAAATATCATTTACGATGTTAAAAAAATAATACAGGGTCCTATACATAATCTGTATTGTCTGCTAATATTGTTTCATCAATTGTCTGCAAATTTGTTTTCATCAATTGTCTGCTAATATTGTTTCATTTTTTTGCTTGTGAATTCAGGTCTACATTGTGTTAGAAATTATTCATGATGAACCTGGCTATGATTCTTTGTAGGTTAGTTTTAATTAATTGTGATATTTCCTGTCTTACTATTGCGTGTCGAGATGTTTGCGGTGGTTATACACAAAAATTTTCACATTCAAACATAGCTATAAATAATAGAAAAACATCAGTTGTGAAAATTGATATTGCTTTTTGTGATTTTTGATGTTGAATATTTTTGATATTGTTAAGAAATTTAAATCTCCATCATCTGTTTGTTATCAATGTGATGGTTGGTTTGATGATTTTGGTGGTAGAAAATCAAAAATAAATATGCCGTAATGTCGAGTGATAATTTGGATTTCTGGCAGGTAGTGATCAAGTATTTGTTCTTTAGTTTTACTTCAGGAAATTCTTGTTCACTTGAATTATTTCGTTTTTGAAATGATTTTACGATTAAATTGTGGCAAAGTTGTACTTGTCCTCATGCAGGATCGCTTTGTGGATTCACGACAAAAGGAAAGGTAGAGTTGTCAAAATTATCATCGTATTGAATGATTTTTTGTGGGATATTACAGTTAATGTGTAATTTTCACTGTGTTCTAATGGTTGATTCCAATTATAGAGTCTTAGTGGTTTGCGAAGATATAAGTTTTTTTAATCTACGTTTACTTTTAATAGATGATGCTGTTGTGGAATCGGATTCTGAGAAAAATCTCTGATTTTCTACTGCTTTACTTTTGTTGTGGATTAGATTGTGCAGGTTTTGAAGTTCTTGTATTGAACCAGACTGCGTTCCGTTTTCTGGAAAACTTTGACTCAAGGCCTTTTTTTGTGATTACTGCCTTCTTTTTACTTTTTTTTCGATCCGATTTATCCTATATCTTGTTTATGCGCTGTAACAAGATCGTTACTTTCTTCTCTTCATAAACATTTATGAAAATTTTTGTTTGTTTGTTTCGTATATTATCTCTTGACATAAGTGTTAGAGTGTCGTGTGCAAAATCCATGGGTTAGTTTTTTTCCCTAAACTGTTAGTCCTTACAGTTTTTGAGGTTATCTGAATCCTGCGGGACAGATTGTCGAGTATCGACGGGTTGTAGAGAGGGTATATCATTTCGCTAGAATGATATTATACTTTCTGAAGAGGTTAAGTATTTTAAGAAACTTAATCTTACTTAGGTTCTGATTTGTGAATAATAGTTTCTGATTTCTCAAGGATTGGAGAATAGTAATTCAATCCACAAGTTTCAGGTATAATTAGAACACAAGTAAATCTTTTGATACCATGTTAAATCTTACTAACTTTAATATTTGTTTTTGCCTGTGTTGATTAAGAGAAGGTGCTCAAGTGAAGGATGGGTAACCGAAGTTCTTCACTGTTCTTCGAAGTATCTTAATTATAATGGTTAGTTATTTGGATAACTTCAAATAGGCCTGGGTCGTTTGTAAGTTTAGGAGAATAAATCGTTGTTTGAAGTCTTTATACACCAGTATTATGAGGTAGGGAAATTAAACTTGTTCCAATTGATCCAAGGAAATGATTTTAAAATGATTTAAAATTTAATAGTAAGTTGAAAAATTAAAGATCTATAGATAACCTTGATGATCTGGTTTAAGGAAACCTTAGGTTGTTAAAACAACGATAGGCCTTGACAAGTTCTAAATTAAAAGGTTAAAGGTTAAGAAAAGGCTGGAGTTTTAAGAAATTTTTTTTTAAAGTTGAAAGATATTAGTTTTTGAGTGATTGTGCTATATCTTAGAAGAAGAAACAACTAAGCACGATGAATGAGAACAGGAGTTCTTCGTGATCAGAACATGAGTCCTTGAGAAGCAAGGAACTTTTTATTTTTTTGATGAAAACATTTTATATTTACACACTAACTAATTTTTGTATACTTTATTCAATTATTTCAATTTTACGAAAGTTTTAGAGTTACAGTCATAAATAATCATTCCGAGAGAGTAAATGTCGATTTTATTGTTGAAAATCTCGCGTCCTTCGTCTTGGAGGATCTCAGGAGCCATGTACTGGGGAGTTCCTGGTCTCCCCAACATCTGCTCGCCAATTTCTTTTTGTGTCATTCCGTAATCACTGAGTCTGACCAAACAGGTGTTTTTAAGAGGTAGATCCCGCATCATTCGATGAGGTGCCGGAAAGCTCCAGACCAAAACATTCGCTGGCTTTAAATCACGATGGACGTACGAGTGCTCATGTAAATAGGAAAGTGCACTTGCTAGTTGAAAGATGATGTCTTTAACAACAGGAGGTGGTAGCAAAGAGTTTTCGCTCCTGAAAATCTCCAGTTGAGCAGCTAAGTCACCCATTGGTGCAACATCCAGAATTAGAGCAATGGGCGACAAGCTAGCTCCGTAGAAGGAAACAATGTATGGATGTTGCAGTTCCATTAAAACCGATGCTTCTTTCCGAAGTTCCACGTACGCTTCAGCAATTTTGAACGAGGGGTCAAACATCCAGAGTTTCTGATTACTAACAATAGCGTCTTTATCGCCTATAGGTGCCTGGAACCTCTCTTCGACGTTGATTGGCTGATAAACTTTATGTGCAACCGGGATCCGTTCCTCCACTCTCCCTGAGGGGTCCGAGATGTAACCGCTGAACACGGCGCCGAAACACCCCTGGCCGAGATACCTCTCGAGCTCGACCAAATTACTTGGCAGGACTTTGTCTGGTGGAAGGTCAATGAAGAGAAAATTAGGAGCGACTTCGTCAATCGCGAACTCCCAGTGAATTGGACAGCTCAGGTTGACCTACAAAAATTGTTCTATGATCTCTCGGCTATGGTGTCTTCATAACTGAACTCAATATGTCGTTTAAGAGAATGAAAATGAGAGTATTGAAACCAAAAGTTTTCATAAGGTATCAATTGGTATCTTTGGTACAATATATTACCACATAGTTTGGTCACAGTCAAGTCATCGAAAAACAAGTGGTGATTAAAATTTTTACAACATAATTTAAAAAAAAAATGCAATAATATAATTGTTTGGGTCCATGACTAAATTCATTTTTAACAAAAATAAACCAAAAGTTGCGTGTAGTTCTTAAGCAGAGGCACAATTGTAGTTCTCCGTAAAAAGCATTTGAGCTTATACGGGTCCTTTCCCTCGCGATAATTGTAATAATAATCATAATAAATTGTTTGCAATGTAGATTCTATTCACTGTAAAATTTACTACATTTACAACCTCATGAAATCTCTTTGCGAGAACGCCGTGGAACTTTGCAGCCCGTTTTCAGGCGCCTCTGATCCTGCTATGACTTCTGTTGGTTTTTAACGTCAATAGTTAATCAAGATCAATGAAAATGATTTCAGTGAAAGAAAAAGTTTAAAGCGGAAAAGAGGGAAATTTCAGCAGTATACCTACTTATGACAGCAAATGTTCTTTTTTAAAATGTTATTTCTACTCAAAAATGAGTTCAACCAGTTGATAATTTCCTAGAAGAAAATTGCCCAAAAACTCATGATTGAAGATTTGTATTTGATATTCTGTGCAGCTCTGAATCCTGGTTACAAAATCTGGGTAGTATTTTCTAATTCTAGCAATTATCGAAGTTTTTTTTTATTACCTATCGAATGCTCTCTTATTCAAAAATGTATTTAAATTTTTCTCAGTTACAGCTTCCTAGACAATGGTCGATATCCACTCTGTTCTCAAAACCTTTTTATGGTAACTTTAATAATTCATAGATATGTAATTCCTTTACGAAGTATATTTTTCGTTTTTGTCTTATTTCTTCGATGCTTTCATTTCTTCTCTTAAAACAGATAATTTTTATAAGCCGTTTGATTTTAAGTTCAACTGTTTCTAATTTTGTTTTGTCTGTTGACGAATAAGCCAAAACCTCGTACTGAAAATGTTCTTATATGTTTTTTAATTCATGCAATAATGAAAAACAAATCACTCGAATGATTGTCAAATGATTAGCCTTTGCTTGGGCTTTAGTGTTTGCACCCACCTGGCTGGAGTAGGCTAGCAGCAAAATCTCCTCCTCCACGAAACAGTGCAGTCTGGGAAACATGGTGTCCGCAACAAAGGATCTCTTTGTGCTTTTGCGCATGGACATGGTATGGGTGAACCTCACACTGGAACTGGGCATTGATGCAGCTGATCCATACCTAAATCGTAAATAACAGGCCAACTAAAAAGGCGATTTTTAATACAATAGAATAATGAACAAGGCGTGAGTTGGCACTTACTCTGAGTAAATGGTGCCGATGGAGCCGGCGGAGTAGCGGGGCATGGCGGTGGGGTACTGCTGCTGGGGGTGCTCCTGGTCTATTCCGTGGTACTCTCTCCAGTCTCGGCTGTAATCTAAGGTGTCCGAAACTATGGCCGAAGTGTATCTTCTGAAACGCTCACATAGCTATTTACATTATTGTACTTTTCGTTCAGTTGATTCCATTCTATAAATTGTGCATGCAACAACTAACAAAACATAAAAAAACTACTGAGCAAAAATATGTGATGTCTGAAAACACACAAACAAAGATCAGCTCAAATAGCAGAGGCGGAAAAAATAACAAGCAACGCTCTGAAGCAGAAAGAGAAAAGGATCTAGGGTTTTCTCGGTGGGTGGCTATTTTCAAAATTCAATTTTTCGATTTGTTTTGGTAGGCCTAATTAATTTTCCGAACTCTCTCAAAACACTACAAAGACCCTATTTAGCCATAATTATCTGCGCCTCAAGCATCTTTTTGAAAAAAAAATAGTTCAGCTTTTAGGTGCTATCCAAAAAATGGCGTTTTTCGGCGGCGAGCGATCCCTCATCAAAATTTTCATATTTTGTCGCCACATACTAGCTCAGAAGAATTTCAGGGTCGGTTGACTCAAAATGGATGATGTAAAATAGTACCAAAGGGCGACCCTTTATATGACTATATGGCTGCCCGACTAAATTCGCCCCTGAAAATTTATGAGAAATGGGGTTTTAGAACACATTTAGCGTTGAGACTTAAGTCAATAGTTGATTATTAACTTTCAAAGCTCTAAAAAAGGTTGAGGTCTTAGTTATGATAAGATTAACTTTTGGGATTTGAGATGATGAAAACGAAAAAAGAAAAAGTACCGCATGACGTTATGTAGTCTGCTGTTCACTCTGTCTAGTTTAGAAGTGCCCGACCTCATTCGAAGCGCTGGCTGCTCAGAGTCGTCTATACTGTCCCGTTTGACAAATGAGAGGCACTTGTCCTCGTCTGTGGGTGTCGGAGTAGGGGTTGCAACATCGCTCTCTGGAAGTAGCGATATATTTTTCACCAGCATAGATTTACACTTGAGAGCGTTAGTATATTAAAGCGAATCTTCTTTTTTCCTAGCTTAACTCGCAAATAAAATTTCATTAAAAGAGTTTGCTTATTTGGTGGCTATCTTGCTATAATCACGATTTGTAGCATTAGAAACTTCATACCATCTGTTCTCTGCTTTATATGTGGCTTTTCTTAGTGTATTATTTAGTAGCAGTGACTTAGTATTTAGTGTGTGGGATTCATAGTCTCTAGGTCGCAGACCGAATCCGAGACATGGCCGAGTTTTTACTAAGTCGAAGATTATTTCTTCTTTTTCTTAGTGCACTTATAGAGCTTCTTTTGTCGTTTTCTTGCTAGTGTTTGCGCAGCACAGCTTCGCCTCTGTATAACCGCAAGAAATTGACCACTAGGAATTAAAATGTTTTTTATTGTTCCGACATTCAATACGAAAGTAACGGAATATTTGTGCTCGAAATTCTTCAGACAAATTTCGACATTTTAACTATATATTTTTGACGGAGTTTTTTTATAATCATTCAGAAAGCATTTTTGTCCTGAGCTTGAATTTGAAAAGATATTCCACCTGTAATTATTTTTCGTAAAGATATGGGGGTTAAAAGATTGCTATTTTGACCACAATTATCGCGCGATAAATTTCCGGCTATTAACGCGTAAGCGGAGGTTTAATCCGTCTTTGAAATTGTTCCAAATTGATTGAAAGAAGCTTATTTACCATAATTGGTGTGTAACAAGGAACAAAATTTATTCTTTTGTAGTTTATATGGCGTGTGGGGGGTGGGGCAATTTTTATAGAAAAAATTTCAATTAGAAAAAAAATTTTCCATTTTTTTTATTACATTTGATTTGTTAATAATATTTATGTTATAAGTGCTCCATAAACCTTAAAAGGCAATCAGAACATTCAGGGCTTCGTCTTGTTTTTGTATTTTTGTCAGATAAGTTTTCAAGGAATTATCAAACAATTTTTGCTAAGGTTGGTTAATTCAAACTCCGAGATTGTTTTTTTGTTTGTTAGATTTTTTAACCAATCAAAAAGTTGATGGTAAGCGGTAGCAGTGTCTGCATGTTTTCCCACAACTTGTTAATTTTTGTTTCAACAATTTGGCTCAATGACTAATTTTTACAAAAAAAATTCACGTAGACTAACAAGACTATTCCAAAATTATTTGTTCTTCATCGTAGCCTGGTTCAATCAATAGTTACATCAAAAAGATGATGCTTTTGTGAGACGGCTTTTGGGAGACATGATGTTTTTGTGAGATGTTATTTTTATAGACAGTCATGCAATATCGTGAGGCGATAACTCGTAGAAAGCGACATTGGTCGAAAGCGACCATTCGCACTTTTTTGAAAAAGCAACGATTTATTTAGGCGATAAGGATCTACTTAACATTTCCCCCCCTCCACTTTTAAGAAAAAAAAAGGGGAAATTGTTAAGTAGATTGCAGCAAAATTAGAATTTTCAATACAAAGCTCTAGCGCTAAACAGATTGCAGCAAAATTAGAAGTCTCAATACTAAGCTCTAGCGCTAATTTACTGCTTTTATTAATAGGGCTGGCAATTCTTAAGAAGGTACCAAAGGGAGGGCAATTGTTAAGTAGATCCGGCGATAATTCGTAACAGGCAAATTCGTACCTGGAAAATTATTAATTTTTGTTTTATCTTTCAAAATCACATCGTTTCGTCTAAGGTGGTCAAATTGGGCAAACTTTCATAAGAAACCAATACAAAACGTCACAAATAAAACCACATGGAGATGGAGTAGAAAGCCTTGTAAGACATTTTGAACAACTTTCAACGATGATATCGTACATAAAAACGGTGAGCATGACAGTTAAGTTAGGCGCGCCTTTCTGCCAGGAGAAATGGGCGAACTCCAGAAATTTATAAGATAGTGGCTTTGAGAAAGCTATTTTTTTCAGGTCGGGGGTTAGGCTTGTTTTAAGGGGGGGGGGGGTTAAAAATTTTCCCCGTCAAGCTGTTCAATCCTGTTTTTTGTTTCAGTGTCAAAAGTGCTGCCGTTAGTGCCCTTTTTGAAGCAAAACACAAGAGAGGACCACTATGTTCGCGCATTTTGACAACTGAGGGATTTTCTAATTGAATTCTAGTCGCGTGTTTTATATTTCTTTGTTGTTTCATTGTTAGAACTTAAATTGTTTCTGATCAAAGTAAGTTTTTTGTCAGGACTTAGTGTGGCTTGGTGCAAATAGCCGCTCTCTACAAATCGTCGCTTTTTAAAATACAACGAATTAGCTGTCGCTTTCGACCATTTGTGGCTTTCGACAAATCGTTGCCTTGCCATGTAATATGCTCTACCCTGGTGAAAGTGTGGTTTCTTTCTCTGCTTATGGGGCCTTCCGTCTTCCTCTTCCTCAGAACTGGAGGTGGAGTCTGCATTTGTATCTCGCCTATTGGCCGCTACTTCTTTGAAGATAGCTGCAAACAGGCAAGTATATAAACTGACAGTAGAAGAAAAAGTAGCCATCCGGAAAAACAAACAAAAGCAAGTTCCTTCTTTCTATAGCCAAAATCGCTTTCGCTGCAAAAAAATTGAATTGTGCCAAATAAAAGATAAGGTTAGATTTTCAAAAAACTAAATCAAAAATTAACTAATTTAAAAAAAATAAAATTTAAAATGTTATCGAAAAAGATCTAGCACAGGTGCCTGATGTGTTGTTGCGTTGCTGGAATTTGGTCACACTTTCCACACTGCACTGCAGATGAAGATGAGTGACTGGGAGCACTGTGTTGTCTCTCTCCGACAGACAATTGGGACAGGGCAAGACCCTTTCTATCGAGTGCTCCCCACAGCTAAATGTAGAAACATCAATCACGCTTTCAAACAAAACTCTCTTAATGTCTGGAGCATCTAATAGAGGGAAATTGGTTTGAGTATAAACTAAAATGCGAAAAGAATTCTCCCATTTTACCTGTCTCCCATCATCTGGGGTCTCTGACCCAAGTTGGGGTACCACTCCGTCAACAACATGTCCACATGTTGAGATATGATCTCAAAAAAATGAGCGATCGTTCTCAATTTAGGCCCCAAGTACGTGCACTCGGATAAGCTGTAATTATGAAACATGTGTTGTTCTATGATTGTAACACTGGGCATGAACACTTTGATTGACAGCACTTGTTTCGGAAAAGACTTGTTCAGCTCTCGCTCTTGGAACTGTACATCAGTTTTGACTCT